GGCTTAGTGAAGCCTCAGTCTGGCAGAAACAGCCCTGTACTTCATGGCAGCACTGGTCAAATCAATCGCAATGAAAGTGTTAGAACTCCACTCAATTTGGGAAGCACCACTGTGGGGCGTGGCGAAAGTAAACCAGCTGTGTTAGCTAATGGAAGAGTTGGACAAGGAAGGTTTCATCCATATGATGAAAGGCCGAGTAAAGGTGTACCTGTGAAGTTGCCATCTCCAAAGAGTCCTGATAAGAACATTACTTTTAAAGCCCTCAATGAGCAGCCAATCAGACCGTTGAATCGGTCAGACAGTACGCGCAGAATTGCTGCCAAACTTATCATGACACCAAATCAAGACGCTCCATCAAAATCACCACTCTCTCCATCAACTGAGGATAGAAATACACCAGCCAGGAAACGTTCTCCTGCTTTGAAGAGAAGGAAAATGGCTTGTTCCACAGACAGCGAGCCAGTGGTGCTAAGCAGTAAAAACCACACTAAAGAAGTACAAAGCATTAAACAGAAAGCTGCGGACAGAAAACAAAAGCTACATGAGTCCGAAATGACAGTATCGAAAGATGATCCTGGAGTTATTGAACTTAGAAGAACTTTCACGAAAGAATCTCCTAAACGGAGTCGTTCGCTGCGACGCTCAATGAGAAAGCCCAGTTCAAACTTTGTTAGCCGTGTTGCCAAGAACAAAAATGTAGACATTATATCCGCAACACGGATACAGGCTGCATGGCGAGGTTATTATGCACGCAAGTACAATACCGAAATTGTGAAAGTTCGTAACACCATAAGAAACCATAGAGTAGAAGACCATATCAAACAACTCAACGCTGAATTAAAAAAGTAAGAATTACTCCTTAACTTTTTGTAGTACAGTTATGTATCTATGTTTTCATGTATGTATGCACCATGTGGGTCCATGTGAACTTTGATTTGTGGTTCTATTAAATGTATATATTAATACCACCTGCCTTGTACAACGTCCATATGATGCATACAAGTAGGTGTAATATTGTCATGTTCAATTGTAGCATTCCAAAACAGGATTGAATTGAATGCTAGTTGCTATGCATTTTGGAGTTTCATTAGAAATTATTACAAATTATTACAAATTATTATTATTATTGGTGAAAAAAAAGCATTCATCGGAATTTTTTCTATGAACTTTTTTAAATTCATGTTCATCATTTGTTCATGATCACTAAAAGCAAGACTTGATTTCTCATTTTTTGTTAACCATGTGTCAGCAACCAATGATAGCAGTGAAGCAGTTTTGACATGTACACAATTGTGAATTAGAAACTGGATAACATTTTGCAAAAGAGCAGGAAAAGTTTATTTATTAGCTGTCTGATTGTATAGTACCTGTGGGGGGGGGGGGGATTCATTGTTTGTATTTCACCACAAGGCTAGCACATTGCTATCCCAACTTGCCAAGATGTTAACCAAATATACCACTACAATGGTACATACACTGTACATAAACTTGTATAGTACAGGAAACATTTTTAAAATAGTCATAAAACTTGTATGAAATGCCAAAATCAATTAACAAAATCTTAAATCTTAAGTTGATTGAGTAATCGTTTTTATGAAAGAAATAATGGATTCTGTTGATTCTAAAAGAGATGCTATCGTAATCTGTATTGCAGGTACCGGTATACAATTAATGTTACATACTGCTTACGCTTGGTGTCAGTGGCTTATGAGTCATCTTTTGGATCTCTGCCAATTATATTTACGGTATTACCAGTATTGATTTTTGGTGTCATTTTCAGTGACCTTCTACTACTTGCCCTGTATAAATCAAAATATATTTTTCTCACATCTGTAGGACCAAAGAATTGTACGAGCAAGAGAAAAAGATGAGAACGCTGCAGATGGAGGCGATTAAATTCCTCTGGGAGCAGGTAAGGTGATATGTGAGATGTGGGGGCACACATGCCACTCCCCAGTTGATTTCTTGACATTAATGAGTGTCGTAATATTGAGCCTAAACATGCTAGATTAACAGTTAGACCTAAGACTTGTGTGTTTGTGTCGCCCATAAATCTATTGTTATTGGCTTTTTAAGGTCAGTGTAATGTAATGTTTTGATTCATAGCAACGAACACAACAAATGGCAGGGCAAGGCTTGATTTAGAGTTGCCAATAGACTATGATTTTGTGCTACCTTACTAAATTAATCAGTGGAAGTGCTGAATGTCAGAATGAAATATTGCTACCACCAAACACCTGTTGATAATCTATCCAGGGTTTATAATTGTGACTAGGTGTTGATGTAAGCTTGTCATGACTTTGCATTGATGGTGGGTCTCTAATCACAGATTCATTTGTAGGGTAACCTCTTTGTACCATTGTTCTAATAGAAGCACATCTCCAATAGAAGCACACATAAACTGCCAATTTTCTTAAAAATGTGACTTATTTTGAGCATAGAGATACACCAGTCTTTTACTAAAAGTACATATAAGGTCCTACCTTGAATTCCCACTGAAATGCCAGTTTATCAGTAGATTATTATCGTGTTTTTTTCCTTGTATGTACACTTGCAGGTGCAGGCACTACACCAATGGAAGGAAAACTTCAACCAAGAGGGCAAACCACAATCCAAATCAACAAGAGCAACGACGACGACAGCATCAGCCATCCAGCAAACCCTGCAAGATCCATCAGCCAAAGAAGCTGAGCTGGAAAAGAAATGCACTGAACTCCAGCAGCAGGTATCATACCTCACATGTGTTGAATTGTTGCAACAAGTCCAAGTCTCGTAGATCCATCCATCGCCCATTGTGCTGGGCAAGTGTACAATCAGTACAACGCAATTGTAAATTTGAAACATTTAACTAACTTAGAACTGGTGGTGATGTGGTATTAAAACATTGATTTTTATTTTTCTCTAACTCCAAGAAAATTAGTTCTTTAATGTGATCTACAGAGTTGTTGGATGGATGGTTTGTGAAGTATTTTTGTCAACCAAATCTTGATTTCAAAGACTTTTCGTGAGATGAATATGGCAATCAATTTAAAAGCAAATTGCAAATTTAGAGTATATTTTTACTGCTCTTTGTCAAACTAAATAAATAGGCCACTATTTTACCTAAGGAGCAAATTATTTTTCTATATTAATGAAAAGAAAAATCTGTAAATATCTAAATTATTGAAATTTTTTCATAAATTTAATACAGTACATGCTTTTCCGCATATGTTGTATTTTTGTATTTTTCCCCGAACTTAGAAGTGAGTTTTATTTTTACTGAACACAGTATACTCATAGGAAGGTGTCTCTCCTATAGAAAATTTAATGTTTTTGTGCCCATGATGGTTCAAGTTAAAGAACTGGATGGCTAATGCATATTCTAAGAGAATACAGCTTTTTATTGTAGGGGAGATCTACTTGGCTTGGATAAGAAGCAACTTTTAAATGTATTTTCGTTTGTTTTATTATAATTTTTTTCATAGTGGATGCCAATCCAAGGTAGCCAGATTTTTACTAATTATTGCAATGTGGTTTTCATCGTTTTTCAGAAAAAAGGTTTTAGTAGTATGAGAGTCATGTGATGAAGCTTGTTTTCATCTTTGGTTCTATATTTTGAAACTTTTTAAAAAGTTGAAAAATAACTTATAAAATAACTGGTAAAACACTAGTCTATGTTCAATATCTGTGGGTAAACCCAGGCCTTGATCAAGATAATAGCCATCACCAAAACATATCCAGTTGTAGAAATTGTAACTGGCTACAATAACCAACTTTAATTTGGGATATTCAGCTTAGTAAAAATTTAAGCTGGAGTTGATATAGCAAATATATTGTTGTAATAACTCTAATAAGAGCTAAAGAAATTGTATGGATAATTTAGTGTTTTGTACATATTTTGTTTGTCTTTGTGTGTTGTCAACTGTGTGTAATTATATATAAAAAACAAACAGATATACATGTATATCAGTCCTGGCTATCTGTAGAAATGAAATGCATTCATGACCACAAATGTTAGTTTGTATAGTACACAATCAAAATATGAGGGTAATAATTTATTAAAAATAAGAAACTGGTCAGGGATCTCTTTACCAATAGCATTGATAGTGGGAGTGCAATATTGATCTTATCGCTCTGCTGGAAAGTTTTTATTTCTCTTTCATTTATTTTCCTACTGTTGAAAAAAGTATTGTAGCTTTTTATTGGTCAGTTTGAACACTTATTTTCACAAAATGTTTTATTTTATTTTTTTTAATGTGCCTTTAAATTTGTAAAATTTAATGTAATTTGTGGTCAATTGGCTGATTCAAATTTTATTTTTTGATTTCTTATTATTTGTAATGCAAATTGCCCAATTTTGAAACATTTTCATTGGTTGACTCCATTAGTCTGTTTTTCAAAAATGATTGGTTAATTTAAATCAAACTTAATGGTGGTATAGCTGCTAAGAAAATCTAGCCAGTTGTACAGATTTTCCGTATGTGAAAATAAAATAATTAAAATTGACATGCAAGGTGTGGTTTGTTTGTGCACCCCAACCCCTCCTTCCCTGCAGTTGAATGGTATGTTCCATATATATAATACTTTATACCATGGTTAGGAAATTTGATATTGGCAGATACTCATTTGTAAGAAGTGAATTTATCGACTGTCAATGCCTGAAGAACTTGAATGAAATTGTTATAAGATTATTGATTTCCCAGAATCCAAGAAATATTTATATCCAAAGCGATTTACGGCAATACACCCATAATTAAAAAAGCTTCATGCTTAAGCTGAATGAAACTCTATAGCTGTATCATTACGACTTATATCCACATTATCATAACTAACATGAAATAAAAAAGTTACTTCTGAATCATAAATTTAGTTATTCCTTAATTAAATACTTTTTAAGCTAAAGCCGTTTTTCATTAATTGGTCAATGGTGCTGTCCAGTTGGGCATCTTGACTATAGAGGGCGCCATCACACAATTGGCTGTCGTCCAAATCTAGTGGCAACCCCCAGCCGATGAAAACAAAAGGCCTTTGTTAAGCGATGTCTTAAAGTCTATTGTTATCTTTATTAAATATCGCCATTGTAATCTTTTATATAAAAAATGAATTGACTAAATTGTTTTGTTGTTTTGTTCTCAATAACACTTGTAGGTTGGAGAGTTACAGGATACATTAAAAACGGTAACCAGTCAGCTGCAGAGTTCAGGCTATTCAACAACTCACAGTAGTCTAGATGCATCCGATAAGAAAGCTATTATGCAGGTCAGTCAGTCAGTCAGTCTGTTCTACTTCTATAATGTATAATCGCTTACCTATATTGTTCTGTCACATCCAGTGGTGGACAGATGACATGTACTTTGTGAATTACCCGTCTGATTGTTAGGACCTATGTCACAAAATTTACTTAATATTGATTTATTAATCATTGAAATTGTGGTTTGTTTGTTGGAACTCTAGCGTAAACATGCATACATTGTAAATCTTAGATGAAATCAATTTGTATTTTTGCTGAGCTTTGTTGTTAGACAGTCATTTAATTACAATTTGGATCTGATAACTGACTACTATTATAGCAAGTGAAATACACTGAATAAATGGCATGGTAAATACTAAATCAAATGCGTGACTCAAACCAACGTTTAAATATGGAACGACACATCTTCTACTCAGCCACTATGCATCCCCTCAAAAAATGCTTAATAATAAATTCAGAATATGTCCAAAGTGAAGAGAACCATTATAACAAAAACTGATTTGATAATTAAAAAATTGTATCTTGCTTTCTTTGATGTGCAGGTTCCATTTGCAACCATGCAAAAAGAGCACCCGGTCAAATCTGTCCCAGTATTGCCTACCGCACCACAGAATCTGACCCTGCAAGTCAAAGTAAACGGTGCCATCCTCTTGAAGTGGGAACCTTCCGCAGTGCTGGACACAGATGGAAAGAATCTGGTGGATCACAAAGTGACAGGTTACAAGATATATGTCAATGGTCATGAAGAAGGCATTGTGGAAGGGAGCGATACATGGGCCATTATTGAAGGACTTTCTGTTGGCACACTCTATAAGTGAGTTGAAAATTAAAATAAGCGAAGTAGTTATACATTTTTGTATGTATGGGTGAGAATTAGGTAAAAGAATGAATGCAAAATTACATTTAGGCCAAAAGACAAATATTCAATTTTGTAAGCAGAATTCAGTGTTCATAAAAAATCATAAATTTAATGACAATTTTAAAATTAAAATAAAAAGCCACTCGCATGTGTAGATTGTTAGTAAACACTACTGATATATTTAATTTAGTTTCAAAGTCACATTTGATAATATTACCATAACGTATTTATGAAGGGGAATTGTTGCCATACAATGTATCTCTGGGCATCAAGGCATTGAAGTTAAAGCTTGGTCTTGTCTCTATTCTGACACTTGTTCAAGATGTAACTTCCACTTTTCAGACATCTGCACTGCATTCCCTTTTAAGTACTTTTTTCATTTGTCAACAGATTTAATATTAGAGCTGTATCTGATGCTGGTGAGTCACCTGATTCAAATACTGCAATCACTACATTATCTATAATTTCAACACCATCTGAGAAAACCCAAGATAAACCAGATAAGCCAGATGAAGATGATCCATCACCAAAAAGAAAAAGCAGCAAGGACAGTAGCCCAGGTAGCAGAAAGACATCCAAAGATTCAACATCTTCCAGACGATCATCAACAGGGTCTACAAAGTCAAGTGGTAAATGTCATGGTCAGAGCACAAATGAAACTGATAAGGCTGAATATTTGAAAGATGGCGATCAGAAGATCAGAAAAAATAGCAAAGATGTGGAAAAAGAGAAGAATTTGGCAGCAGAGAGAAGGTACAGTTCAGAAGAACCAGTGAAACAGGATCTTGATTCAAGCAATCCAGTGAATGATGCTAGACAGAAAGAAGAGAAGGAATTGGCAATCGAAAAGAAGAGAAGCAAGGACGAAGCAATGAAAGAGAATCTTGATTCAAGTGATCCCGTTGAGTCAGTGAAGGATGCTAGACAGAAAAGAAAGAAGAGCAAAGAAGATGCAAAAAAAGAGAAGGAATTGGCAAAAGAGAGGAGGATAAGTAAGGAAGAAGCAATGAAAGAGAATCTTGATTCAAGTGATCCGGTTGAGTCAGTGACAGATGCTAGACAGAAAAGAAAGAAGAGCAAAGAAGATGTGAGAAAAGACAAAGAATTGACAACAGAGAGGAGGAGAAGTAAAGAAGAAGCAATGAAAGAGAATCTTGATTCAAGTGATCCGGTTGAGTCAGTGACAGATGCTAGACAGAAAAGAAAGAAGAGCAAAGAAGATGTGAGAAAAGACAAAGAATTGTCAACAGAGAGAAGGAGAAGTAAAGAAGAAGAAATAAAACCTAGTCATGATTTATGCGATTCGATATTGAAGAACAGTGAAAGGAAGAGAAAGTCAAGCAGAGAAGACAAGGAAGCAGGAGCAGGAACAGGAAGAAGAAGAAGCAAAGAAGAACGAAAGCACAGCAAAGAGGAGAGTGATGCACGCAAGGAAAGGAAGAAGAGTACAGAGCATGCAAAGAAGTTGGAACAGAAAAAAAAGGATTCGGTGATAGAAGAAAAGTTAGCAAAAGAGTCAAGCAATGACGAAGTTGCGAAAGAGGATTCTCCAAAAAGGAAAGATAGGAAGAAGAGTAATGGTGATGAAGCAAAAAAAAGTAAGAGAAAGAAGAGTAAGGAAGATACTAAGCAAGCTGAAGAGAAGTTGGACAAGAAATCTTCTGTAACACCTGAAGTTGCCATGCCCTCTGAAAAGGAACAGATGATTGAAGATGATTCCAAGAAAGACAGTTTGCAGGAAACTCCTATTACCACAATAACAACAAACAGTTGCGCTGAAATATCGGCCCAGGAAATAAAAGTATTACAAGCAGATCTATGTGCACCAGGAACAGAAGCAGTTGAATCACCAAGACAAATAGATGAACCTCCAGCAGCGATAGTTAAGACAGATGCCAGAGAGCCTCTAAGTATTAATGTCACACCCAGTATAAAAGAACGTCCCAGACATTTGTGTTTGTTAGATACAAATGCTCCAGTTATGATCAGCACTGTTATTGATACTCCATTCCATGGTGCTAAACTTTTGAGTCGTTCAATGTCCCCAGATTCTAAAAGCTACAAGAAATCACGCCATAGAAGTGGATCCAAATCTCCCATTAAAAGCTCACCCAAAAAGCATCACCACACCAGGGAATCTGCATCAGAACCTAGCTCACCAACTGATCGACTGGCTCCATATCACTCCAATATCCTGTCTAGTTCATTGCCAAGTTCTTCATTGGTGTCTGATCAAAATTCAGCTGTGACAATTGAGAGGATACCTACCGTTGATGATATGACTAAAGAAATTGAATCTGGAGATTTCGAGGAACCTGTCTCACAAGCTTTTTCTGCACCCATCAGAAAAAGTGCTGAAATGAGGAAGAGTTTTACAAGACAGTTAGCAGCAAGTTTTAACGTATCACTTACTGGAGCTGTTGATCAAAGTGTTGAGGATCCTGTTGTCAGAGATTATAAATCAACTATTTCATCTCACATGACAGAAAAGATGACAGCTGTAGTTGTATCTTTAAATGAATCTCAAGATGGAAGTGTTTCTTCTATGGACAATACACTGCGTACCAGTGATGAGATGAGCAGCATCAAATCAATTGATTTGTTAATTAGTCAGCAGAAGCAGGAAAGTCCATCATCTGCAGAAAAGATGAAATCTGATGAGATTATTCAAGAGAACAAAAATTCTGATGCTATTGTTGTTGATCATCCAGAGAAGATGGGCACTGGGGATTTTTCTTCTGGTAGAGAGGCAGTTGATGACAAGAATGAAAGTACCCAGGAACCAGAAGTCCAGAAATTCACTGTGTTGGAACTGAATAAAGAACAGGCAATGGATACCGAGGAGGACATTGATATTACTCCTTCTAAAAACCTAGCAGTTGATGTTACAGATGCTGTTAAGTCTTTTGAAAGCTCAGAAGGAAAAACAGATGAAGCAGAAGATTTTGAAGATGCGCAAGAATGGGCTCATGAAACAGGCAACAATGATGATGTGCCAGCAACTGAGAAAAACCACACAGTCAGTCCTGAAATGCTATGTGATGATGCAGATGCTGAGAATGTAATGAATCTGGAAGAGAAAGGTAACAATCATTATGCTTGTCATTTTATTATCAGAACAATTGTCTAATGAAATATAGCATTAAGTTATCATACTTCTACAGAGATAAAGTGATAAACCAGTAGTTGTCTGTTGCCCATACTCCCTGCTCTGAAAGTGTCTGTGAAATGCATATCATCATCTATTCACTTTTAAAATTCATGTACTCATGAATGTGTATACTTTACAAAGCAAAATTATCTTAGAATCCTGAAGCACCAAACCAGGTGTACACAACACATCTGTTTGACACAAAATAATTATTTTAATGCCTCAAATCTGCAAATGATCTGGGTATTTTGATTGCTTGAAATTAGACATTTGACAGACACTTGAAATCATTCTCTTCTACTCTTCATTCAAGTCATTATCACATCTTGCTATGACTCATTTTTGGTATACTCTAACTCCCCTCAGCCAGTCTGACATACTCACCCTCACTCAGCAGAATTCCTAGACCCCAAGTATGACCTGTTTCTCCCAAGAATGCCATTGTTCCCTCAAAGGTAAGCATGTACTGGGGCGCTTAGGGATGGCCTTTGGATTTTGTTTGGACTGAGTGCTGTGTAATTTTCTACTTTTACTCAAAGATTCCTCTTAAGCCATAAAAGCATGTTATTTATGCACATTTTATTGACCTCAAAGCTCTGACCAACAACTACCTGCTGCTATCCTACCAATAGCACATCAGTGTCGCTTGTATTGGGAAAGATGTTCAGGAATTCAACTATTGTTATCATGCGTTAATAAAACAAGGCACTTCTCAGTTTGTAAAAGCAAATTGTAAACCTGCTTGCTTTAAGAAACTAACATAAAATAAGTTTCAAAAGGGTTGTATGGGACAATTGTGCAAGCCAAATCAAGGATCCCGGAGAGTAAAATTTCCCTCCAACAAGAATGTTATTATAGTTGGTGTAAAACTACTAAGAAGTTAAAGACTTTGAAATCAAAAGAATGTACAAACATGATAAATGTAGGTTTAGAATACTTTTTATATGCACAGTGCTACATGGCTAACATTGCTTGACTGTTGCTGTGTGTTTTGTTCTATCTTATCACCACCAGACTTCTCGCCTAAATATTTCTACACTTTTTCTCATATTTGTCAATATTTCTGGAAATAAACTCTAATTTTAGAGCCAATAGACAAAATTTCAGTTAATTTTCAGTTTTTACTCAAAACAAATTTGCTATTTTTGTCAGTCTTCTGAAGGAAAGTGCAGACTATAAATGAGACTATTTTGTGAATTTGTGATGAACAGAGAGAACGTGGTGAAAAGGTTAAGAAATCATTCCAGGCCAATGCATGTACCAGTGCTTACTGTAATGATACCTTTCCATGTCTATATATGGGCATATGACCTCCATCATGCATTTTGTCTGATCTTCTTGATTGCATATTAGAAAAGTATATGCATACATGCATGCTTATAAGCCTCTTTATTGTTTTTTGATATATTCCCATATTTCAGCCCACATGTCTGTTGACATCCAGCCCTCTTTGGTAAGAAGCATATTTTTCTTGTGTAAACCATACATGTAGCTTCCAAAACTAACTGCTTATGTTTTATTTTATTTTTTAAATGATACTGTAATTTACTTGTCAGTAAATAGATATTATTTTGTAATCTGGTTGTGTATACTCTAACCCGCTTAATTTTCGCCAGACACAAAGGTGTGAAAACATCATTTTATAGCCATGAAAAATGTCCCAGTGAATATTATCGTGTCCATGTTCTGTTCTGAATACCGTTATATAAAATAATCATTTTATATCTCTTTGCATGATATTATCATAAATATATGTCATGTTACATGACATTGATATGTGTTTACTCATTTTGTACAACAAAGCCAATTTGGCTCTGTATTATAGATTAAATTTTTTTTTTTCAAAATACCCAGCTCAAACTCTCTTCAAAATTAATTAAACCACAAAAGTGTCTTGCGGCGAGAATTTACTGTTTAATTTTATATATGTTGTACTGTTCTGGAATGTATTTTGTTGACAACACGCATGTGGTTGTTAACAGTCTGTTACAAACTGCACTCCATTTGCATTGTTTTTATCATAATAGTAAAATCAACAAAACATCAATTCTAAATTAGGCTGAAACAAAAGTTTTTGTTTCTCATCCCAGGGAAAGTTTTAAAAAAATGGTGTGGCTTTAAATTTAATTGTTTGGGAAATTCAGATTATTGAATACCACAAAAATAAGATATATTTTTAACATTTATAAAATAATGCTTTTGAATGAAGATTGATTTATCAAACAGAAAACAAAACTTTCTCTGCACTTAACATGGTATGTTAAAATGAAAACAAAGTGTGCAAGGGCACATGTTTCAAACTGACATACACTTTGATGAGAAACAAAATCATATTTTGGACCTTAGTTTTCAGTATGCATGTGATTTTATTTTTTTCTGCAAAATATAAAGCATGATCCCTTATTCTTGATTTACTTCTAATTCTTGAGATTCTTGTAAGCTGCATGATTTTTAGGTAGTGTTACTCTCCTGAATGTAAATGTTGTATTTGCTCTGTTAAACCTGTTAAAGATGCAAGTTAAACAAGTTGTCTTTTTATGGAGGTTGATTGATTTTTATCAGATATTTGTAGAAGAGAAATAAATAAATAGAAGTATGTTTTTTTTATTCTTGATAACATTGAAAATAACATTTACACTACCACTAGTGTACAAATGGTCTTTATATTAAGGTAGACACATACTCCTTTATACATTCAAACCTGTGTTAATGACCACCTTAATATAAAGACCACCTGCCTATAATGACCACCTTAATATAAAGACCACCTGCCTATAATGACCACCTGCCTATAATGACCACCTGCCTATAATGACCATCCTTTTAGCAATATTTTCACAGATTCGCCTTTGTTGAGAACCAAAATAATAATTAGCATTTAGTTTATAATGTAACAGTTTCTAATTTTCTCTGGTCAAATTGATTTGATTTTGACAAATATATGTGTTCTGTATCAGAATTTAACATTTTAAATATAAAATAAAGGAATTACGTTCTTGTACCTACTAATTATGGTGCAAGACCTGTAGCGGCTGAAAAGCATGTCATGTTTTGAGTTGTGTTTATGCTGCATGCTGATATTACCTTGAGGGACAATCTGCCTATTGATGTGTAAATTTATCAGAAATCTTATTTATTACAAACTTTTCCAGTCAGTTGATCCTCTTACTAAGTTCATGTACCAGTTCAAGGCCTTATAAATGTAGGGCTGGGTGTCATCACTAAAGTGGGACACTTTATAATTTCTAAACTGATCTCTGTATTAGAAACCTGTCTATTATGAATGCTAAGTCACTATGCTTACCCCATAAACATCTCTGTAGCCAAACAAAACACACACAGAAAATATACTACTATAATAGAAGTTTCAATAAAATATAGGTGATTTTGCTTTTCTATAAAATGGAAGCACGGTGGAATATTTATGGTGATATTGAAAAAAATGAATATCCTATTAATTTGGGGGGGCACACACAATTTTGTTTTGTTTTTAACTACTATTAAAAAGGAAATCAAAGCACTTGTCATTGTAGTACAATTAAAATTTCAATATTGAGAACATTTTTAATAATGTTGTTTGATAGTGCATGTTGATGGCTACATTGAGCTATGATTTATCTAACAACATAAATATGCTGTTTTTGTACACGTGTCTGATGAGTTCTTACAATTTGCAAAAATGCATAATCTCTTTGAAAAATAAATTTTGAAATCAGTGAAAAATGCTGTATGTTAGGTCCAAAATGAGGAAACTGTTCAACCAATACTCTTATCAAGAGAAATCAAAGTAGAGGAGGGGGGGGGGCTTCCATAAGCAAAGAAGTGAATGTAGACTAGTTATGGAGTAAAACTGGGTACCATGCACAAGAAAGGAGATGCCTTCTCAAGGACTAGTTTGACTTATCGTTATGAATGGACATTCAGGGGCAAGTTTTTGCTTTGAATCAAAACAAATCAATTATAAAAGCCTCCATTCAAATATATATAAATTGATTGAACTTATTGTATTGAAGACAGACTGCTTTATAATAGTCTAGTCAGAGAAGCGGTGTTCACAAAATAGTTTTTTATTTGTCCGAATGAAATCACTTCTGCTCCACGACTACATCATGGCAACAATCGTATAAGTACAAAACATAGTGGTTGCTGTTTATTGTTTGATCGATTTATAGTTTGTTTTTTAAATCTGTGATCAACAATATAGCTCTTTAAAATGGATAATCATACAATGCTGGAATGCTGCCAGGAAAAATAGAAGTGGTAAAAAACACAAGATCTCCCCAGGCCAGTTGTTGCTTGTAATGTTTGGTTTGTTCAGACTCCTTGAAGTGACATTTCTACGTTTAGAATAAGGATAGACTTTAGTTTGTGTTTTTTTAAAATTATGAAAATGATCAAAATCAAATAAGTTTGATATGAGAATAATAAAAATTGTTTTAAAAATTCTTTATCATTTTGGTCTTTTAAAAGCAAATGTGAACAAATATTGCTGTGAAAGTGGTCTTTTTATCTACAAAGGTTGCTCCGTACGTTATGCTTCAGCCAGCCAAAAAATTGGTCACTATAGACAGGTGGTCAGTAGCACAGGTTTAACTACTGTAATCCTTTCTTATTGTGTGAAAGCATAATTTGGTGTGTCAGTAAAAATCAGGAAATTTTTAGTAGTGAAAATTTCTCTGAGGTGCCACAGTGTCAGTGAATGTTGTCTTCGTGAATGAAATCCTGAAATGATTTTTCGCAGTGCGAATTAAACATTTTACAATACTCTCAACTGTCTATTAAGCGTATGCTTGTCGGGTATTTTTTGCATTATCGGTAAATTGAAAAATTGATGTCTAGTGTACATTTCCAGGGCCAATATGATCTTGCAGATTAAATACAGAAATAATATACCAGGGTTCAACACAAATCTTATTTTGAATCAGTCATGAAACACAAATAATATCTCTCTCATCAATTGCTGGTTGTCATTAATTACCTGGGCATACTTACCGATAGTATAATTACAAATAAACAAGGTGAGCTAGCAAGCGGCACCTTGCTTATGATCCTGTGATAAATAAATAAACACTGGGTAAAAAGCTACCATTGTAATAACAAACTTTCAATTGTTTTTTTTTTGGCAACATTTATTCGTTTGACAACAATAAATTTGGAATCCGTCCAAGCCATTATTTTCGTACACTGACCTGTTATGATAATCAACCCTTCCTGTTGAGTTATTAAATACAACTTGTCTGTTTAGTATGAAGGTTTTTTTAATACTGTTTAAAGTTTTCTACTGAACTGTTCAGTGTCCTTGTATTGCTATTAACCACAGTCTTTTTTACGGCACTTGAAGGGGAACCTGCCAAACCCAGGGATTGCACCAAAGAATCATGGGACACTATTGTTTAAGTTGTTTACAATGTTAATCCAGAAAGCGAATTTGTTGTGAGATTAGGCTTAAATTGAGATGCCCCTTCAGGTAATTTCATAAAGTTGTAAAGCAGAAATAAAACTATATCGGGGAGAATGTGTTTTTTGTATCATGTCTGTTTTTTATCTGTATCTATTCTTTTATTTTAATAAGCTATGTAAATTCAAGACCATTTTTTCACTAAATAGGCATACTTATTATAATAATTATGGTTGATGAGAGTTATGCTTAGTTGTTTTATATGTTTCATGCTATCCATTGATGCTGACGAAATATTTTTTTCTCCATGTTGTATTGCAGGATCAGACTCCTCTATGGAAGAGGTTGCTGCAGATGAAGATGGGAACGATGTCAGAAAATCAAAGTCGGACTCTCATTCCTGCAAACCAAGCTAAATCTTTATTACCTGACAACCAATCACAACACAATCTGCAATCAGAAAACAAGTTATTTGTGTCACATGTCAAAAGTAACCAATCAGGAAAGTTGCTTAGAATTTGTAGTCTTGATGTCCAATCAGAGACCAGCTTTGATAGATTTCTTGCGAACAGGAATATGAGCCAATCAGCAATCGGGTTGCATCAAAGTAGTAATTTAGATATACAGGAACTATTAGACATGTCCACTCATGCAGAGGTTGTTAGCCAATCAGGGCCTTGTTTACTTAGGGGTTCAGGAACTGAGTCACAAATAACGCATGATGGTACTTTCCAGCCAGGTCTGTCCATGACTTTTCCTGCATCATTCAAAGAAAAGAAAATTGTCCCCTCTAAAATCCCCAGAAGTGTCTCACTGGAAAAACTGAGTCCACCTATATTGACAAAACAGAGTAAAAAACAACCCCAAATGAAGTCCAGTCAGTCAGAAGACAGGTTTTCAACCACAAAGTTCAAAGTTTCACTTGGAAAAGCGCCATGGTTTTCCAGTGAAATGCAAAGCACTAATACTGCCATTGATAAAATTGATCCAAAAATTAGAAATTATGAAAAAGCTTCTCTGTAGAGAGAACGAAAAATAAACCAGTGTCATTAACCAATCAATTGCCTCCTGCCACAGAGCAGGTTGAATTAACAGCCAATGAGGGATCTTCTGACATCAGCTGCAAAACTGCCAGTTGTAATTCGCTGTCCAACATCAGTGTTGTCGACACGAATCGGATGCCAGCTCAGCTAGCCATTCAGTTTTGTTCGAAGAACGCTGCTGTGTTGTCTCGCCAACACAGAGCGTCAAACGGCCAGCATCGCCTGCCAGTGAATGTGTTGTTTCTTGTACCCTATAGTAGTCTTAGTTTTAATGGCCTATTCAGTAGTAACGAAGAAGTCATAATTTTCATAAATGATTCTGAATCTAGAAATTAGTTTTAAAATTGTAAAATGTCTGCTAGTTCATCTTCTCATTTTCCACATTTTAAATTAACATAGTCGGTTGTAACTAGTAACAATGAAAACCAAAAATCCAATTGTCGAGTAGCAAAATTTGTTAACAAGATGAGATGAAAAAAATTATTTTTTATTTCCCAATACATATATTTTTTAAAAGAATAAAAAAATAATAATAGTGGTACTTATTTTGGGCTGCAAGATGTTTGGTACCTTAGAGGATGTTCTAAGTTTAAATTAACATTTTATAAATTAAAATGTTTTATTTAATTTTAATTTTAAAGTATAATATTCAACAGCATCAAAGTCAGAAGAACAAAAATTGCTTGATGCTAATGGAAATGCTGGTAATTTAGCTGTACTTAATTGTGCTGTAAAATGGAACTGCCTCCAGGGCCTGTTGCATCAACAAAATAAAAACAAATAGAAGTTCAGTTTCTACTTTGGTCACAGAGGGCTCTCTTGTCAAAAGTCTTGCAGCCTATAATAACGTACATTTAGCTTAGTTTAAATTAAATTAGTTTTCTCTTATTTCATAAACAAAACTGCCTTATAATGTTAAACTTTTTATTTGGACCTTCAAAAATAAAGATGTATAGTTTTCTACAGGCACATGCACTGTTCTTCTATCCGTCCACTTTAAAATAGAAGTGCATAAGAACACCAAGATATACCATAACATGGTTTTGTTGATCAAATGTGGATTTGTTTTTTTCCAGTGAAGCCCTTACACCTTAAACTGTCCCACAAACTGAGATGTCACACCATTCAAGCCAATCAGCAGTTACATTATGTAACCAGTCGTATGAAACCCAGTTTGTGATTGGTTTTGGCAACATAAAGAGAGGCCTATATAATCGATCTACCCACTGAAAGCCCAATTCGCTATACTGTGATTACAACCATCAGTTTGTGTGACATAGTGATTTTGTCTAATTACTGTCAACAAAAATACTGTAAAGTATTACATTTTCAGATTAGATAAGGACAAGGACATGGACATGGACATGGAAGTCACTGTGACCTTTTAGGACTACAGTCAAATTCACTGCTACAACATTTTACTAATATTTGATGCTTGTAAATTAAAATGTTCTGAAGTTAAATTTTGGCAGACAGAGAAAAAAGGCTTTCTGTAAACTTGTAAATCCTTCACAATATGAATTTGGACATTTTAGGTTTTTTATTGTACTTGACATACTGCATGTACAGTAATAAAAACATTTAGGTATAAAATCTTTGACTACGATGTTCTACTAAATATGGCTTGTAGCCATTGTAAAAGCTCATTTCCTGATTGGTTTACTAGTATTTATGCAATATATGTAATGTTATTTTTATTATTTAATTTCAAAACAATCATTTGTAAGTTTGTATCCTGAAAGCATATATAATTGCAGATACAGGTGCTGTCATGAGGCCAAGAAAAAAAAGAGATTTATTGTTGTAATTAGCATTATAAAAACAGCACATTTGTGTAAGTATAGTCTTACATTAAATTGGCAGACTGTACCATAAAAAAGATTGAATGTGGGACAAATGTCACACTTCTACATTATTTGTAATGTCACAAAAGCGATGCCTTGCTAAAAAGCTACAACTTATTGGACAAGTCTTCACCACTTTGCTTGGAACCAATTTTTTTTCTTGGCCTTCTATTTTTTTTAAATATACTTTGCAGACATTACAACTTTAAAGAGAATTGAGATACCAAATTGCATGCTGTTGTAACAGATGATAGATTAAAAAAAAAAATGTTTGTATATAGTAAATAAATCTAAAATTGACAGCCCGATGTGTTATTTGTGTATAAAACTTATTGTCACTATTTTCAATCGCTATTACCATAGCAATTTTTTGTCATTCCCATTGCAATGATCTCGTTTTCCATTGTGGGAAAGATCCGAGTGTTTAGAAACTTACCATTAGTGGTAGTATGAATGAGAATAATCAACATGTACATATATTTGATAATTTATTGACGATTAATTTTGTTTTATGAATTTTATCAGCATTTCATAAAATTTTTACCAGGCTGTGTGTTTATTTCTCTAAATGCATAACTTTGTCGTATTTTTAACTAAACTCACTGGCATCAATAGACAATTTTCCATTCATTTCGAGATCTGACATTACACGTACCGGTATATATGAAGTTGAATGTTAAAACAAGATGAACAAAAATCATCATGACGTCAAAACATCACATAGGATTCAACATATGTGAAGTATTATAGAGTATTTGTCTGCTTAATGTGCTATACACATTTGATGATGGGCATTTTTGATGAAGTACTGTAAAATGACTCATTTTCCTTGGGTTTAAATTTCACTAATTTTAGCAATTCAGGCATATTCACGGTTTTATCATTTAGATAATGTGTTCTGTGCCCTATTGTATATATTCACTGGGTTTTATTTTAGTGCATTTTCCAGTCAGCGAAATAAGCAAAATTAAAACCCAGTGAATAATTAATCCTTTTACAGTAATGATGTCTCAACATCGTATCTCTCTTCAAAGAATGGCATTTCAACATTGAACTATACAAAATTAATTTAAATTCAAGTTTTCGATTTTTGCGGCAGACATTCGGTACAGGTCTTTAACACATTGCATGAGACCGTGCAATGAACGAAAAATTATCAATTCTACCGTCATTCATACATAGGTTATCAAGATTTAGTATATGCTCTCTTTTCATTGGTTTTTATACACAAGATTTTGATTGTAATTGAAATAGGCAACTAGCTTATTTCCCACAGTGCTTGAATATGAACGTATTCAAATATTTTTGTTCTGGGTACATCATACAATCCACTGTCTTGTTCGTAGCCAGTCATGCATCAATTGTTAAAATCACACCACTGTATGACTGGTAAATCCAGAAAAAGTTGCATTAGTTTTCTTATTTGTTTGTTTGCATTAGGTGGTGACTGCGTGCAACACAAAACCAATTTCAAACCATTATACAAGTTAATGCTGTAATCAAACCGAGACTATCATACACACCACAAACATTTTACCTGACTTGCTAACAATCTCATTGTAGGATTAGTGTTTCAGATGTATTAGCCAAGTATTAAATTAGTGTCATAAAATTACTTGGTAGCTGGATGTTTCCCAGTAAACAGCAGTTACTTTGAAGTCACCAAACTGCTATAAAATTTACGAAGTTTGAATAAATTTAAAGTGTTTGCTCATCCAAATGAATTTTATGTAGTAGAACATGCATGCCGTTTACATTTCAGACAGATTTTATGTTTCTATGGAAACATTTGTGAGTTCCTTCTTGTACATAGTGTGAATCAATAAATGACCAAACCTTAAATCTGAAAATAGTAGTTACGTGAGGCAGGGGGGTATTTTTTTTTTTTAAGTTCGTTATTACGGTGGCAAACTTGTATCAAGCTTGTTGGTGTTCCCCTTGAACAAACTGAATACAAAGTGCATGAAACTAAAAGAAACGTTTTACAGAGTACATCAAGCGTACAACAAAATGTTGAAGACAAAAAAGGGGATCACTCATTTAACAAGATTCCTTTTATTTTGTTCACTAACCAGTTTTTCCCTAGAAAAAAATTGCAGAGATTTGTTTACATTCCTCTTCTTAGAAAACATTTGTTCTCCACAATCTGTTCATTAAACAAAACAAGTGGTTTACACTTTTGTGATCATTTAATTGACTTGAAGGGAAATGGTTATTGTGTCATGTTTAGTATGGGTCCCTTAGTGGCATGAAATTTGAACATGCACAACACAACAACCCTTGTTTTTTTAAGCCCTTAACTTTTGTGTGCTGCTCAATTTCCTTTTTATCAAAAACTCAATAACAAAAATATATGATAAAATAAATATTTTTATTTTCTAGAAGTCTATAAAGAAATCTTGTGGTATTTACTGAATGATTGTATTTCATGTATGTATTAATTTTGATTATTTTAGATGTATGGACATTTGTATAATTTAATTCAAGATTTGATTGTAAAATGTGAATATATTGATAAATTAAACTCATTACTGCTATTTTTCAAGAAATAAAAAAACACTTGTCATTTCTCATTATTATTTGCATAGATTATCAAAATAGGGTTGCACCTGTTCTGACTTTGATCCTGGGCAGTTTTTTTTTTTAATAATTTAGGAGTTCCTCCCACTTTTTACTTCATTCCTTGCACATGGCAAAGTGTAATCAATCTACAGTCATGGTCACGTAACCAAAAAAAATTTATCGCCTACTACTTGGTAGTAACTATTGAAGTAGTGCTTCCAATGAGGGACCAGCAGCACAAAATATCCACTACTGTGTGTCATTAGCGCCTTCTAGGTACTGCCAAAATATCACAGAATATATTATTTTCATCGTTCAAATGAGCTGATCTTATTCACATGGTAGCTGTTTAACCATCTTGTACCATCTCTACAAGAAGAACACAATAAAATCATTACATCAGATATTTGGTGTTAAAAAGCTGGAATTGGAACATAATATCAGAACTAAATTTGAGTCAATGTGAGCAACTCTCGAGATCAGTCAGCAGCTTGTTGAGAGCAGTTTTTTCATCCTATCAAATTCTGAATTATATATCTGCTTTAACTCAGCCAATATCACAAATACGAGAATACCGGTATTATTTGTTTGTAGACCCAGTTGATATGAGTTTATATCATTGGCTTGTATTATCTATTAATTGAAGGTATATGGATAAAACCCATAACACTGGTATCAACCAGCTCTGAAAATGAAAGCTATCAGATGGCAGATCTCCAAGCACTGGTTGTATGACTATATCTGCTATAGTGTTCCAGATATCATAGTTGTGCATATTTAATGAGGCCACATTAAATATTACAAGATAGAATTTGTCTACATTGTGATTCGCATAATGTAGAAGATACAGAACATTTACAAATAGTTTGTCCAAAAACCATGACATTACGACAAGATTTGTTCTCGCATATAATATTTCCAAAAGAAATCAAAACTAATAATTTATAACGACAATAACAGACAAAACGTCAATTAAGCACATTGCACAATTTATCTTCATGGCATTCCAACAACGTACAAAAACATGTGATTTGAACTTATTATATATTATTTACTTTTTACAATTCAATTTACTAGCTTGTTATATTTTATTTTCTGTAATGATTAATATTTCTATTGCTATATACTGAAAGAAATGTATATTTCTAAAGATGCAATAAACAATTATTATTATCATTAAATAGATCTTCAAATAAAGCACTGCTCCGATAGTGCTCCTGATATGACTTGATTCAGAATCTGGTAACCACTATGTCCCCTGTCCACACGGGTTACGAGATAGTCAGTGATATCAGGAGATAGGCTATGTATCATACAACCATGCACTCAGTGTCAAAAAAACAATCATAATTTTGACAGAACTACAATTATGAATCTCGTGCTGATTACACATAACATCTAAGCTGCTAATTGTTTTCAGATTGACAGAAATATTACTCTTCTTTAGCGACAGTTTTTTGAAATAAACTTTCAGTTATTATGTGTTGCTGTAACAGTCATTGTACCATGTGGGCAGAAATTCTTACATGACGTTTAACAAAGATATCAATCGTTATATTTCAAACTAACGTTACAACTGTGAATGATATCTACCAAGGTCATGTGATAATAGCCTAGAATAGTATTCCAGAGTAGGTGAGACCTGTACGACAAACACCTAGTATCCATGCTCCATGAACACGATCACAGTTGGATATTGAGCAAAAAATGATTGTGTAAACATTAAACATGTCAACATTTGTAGGTATTTTTTCTATATTTTAATTTTGAACCAAATCAACATTATCTCTAAATAATAAGTTGATGACAATGACACTCATTTTGAAAATGATATTTTTTTTAATAAAAAGGCAAAATCGGTTTGTAGTTTGGAAATTAAGTTACACTTGGATTGTACTGTGAATATTAAATACCAATTATAATAACAAAAAAACACATCTTACTGATTTTGATTTCCCATGACAACATCCTCTAGTTTTACCGATATCATAACCATTGTCTTCATAGAATTGTAATGCTGGACTCAATGAGTTGCAAATCAGTGTCATATACTGTAAAAATAGTCAGTGATTGACAATTATTCATAAATCAACCACATATTATATGCAAATTTACAGTCATCTATATGCAAATTGTTTACCATTCATATGCAAATCAATCATCACTAAATGAAAGAATTATCAAAATTAGAAACCATGCCCGAGAAATGGTTGACAATATAGTAAAATGCTTTTTTGGATAAAAATGGTCACCACCAAAATTTTATTTGCATATCTATACTACTATACCATATACATGTACTGTCGTTGTGACAACTTTGAACAAAATTGGTCCAAGTATGTCTGAGAAATCAGAAAATATAAG